GCTTGTTCAATGAAGCTTTGGCAATGAAACCTGGAAGCTGATTGGTTTCTATGCAGAAGGGAGTCTGATTTTGGACTCTCCAGCTTTAGTAAATAAACCCCTGTGTGTCTTAGAAAAAAGTTCAAATATTTTTTAGGGTGACAATGTGCATTTTTGGCCCCATAGCACATGAAAAACATACAAAATGCATTACAAAAAAAAAATGAAAAATGCTTGAAAGAACAAGCACACAAGTATAAGCCTAGCCCAATGCTTCAAGAAAATGCACCTCCAGACACTTGCATAGATTTAAATGGCCAGATTCACATCTGTTAATTTTTCTCTCTGATGCACTTTCCAATGGGATCCATAGAAGTGCATCAAAATGCAAATAAACTTGCATCACGTGCAGCTGTGTTTCTTCAACATTTTCGGTACTTGTCTGTTAATTCACCGGATTTATTTATTTATATATATATATATATATATATATATATATATATATATATATAAATAAATAAATATATAGATATTTTTATATGTTTCTATTTAAATATATCAAATATATATATATATATATATATATATATATATATAAAATAAATAAATAAATCCAGTGAATTAACAGACAAGTACCAACATTTCTTCCATCCTCTGGAACTCTCTACCCCAATTTATCAGACTATGGCCTACTCTGCTCACTTTTAGGCGATCTTTGAAAACCTATCTCTTCAGGGAAGCCTATCCTGCCCTCAGCTAATAACGGAATCTTCTATTCCTCCTACCAGTCCATCCCCCACAGTTATTACCTTTTGTACCACTAGCCCCTCCCTCTTAGATTGTAAGCTCCAAGGAGTAGGGCCCTCCTAACCATATTGTATTGAACTGTATTGTTGCTGTATTGTCTCCCGTTATATTGTAAAGCGCTGAGCAAACTGTTGGTGCTATATAAATCCTATATAATAATAATAATAATATTGCATGTCAATGAGTGTCATAGCACACATCAATACATCTTGATGTGCATCATGGTGCCTTTACATTTGTTGCAATGTGACGGTATGCAGCATGATGTTGTCTTAATGCCTGCACTGCAATGCTGTTTAATCTGTTTCTGTTGATGTCAATGTAAAACACATCAATCTAAACTTTTTACATCGGTGGCACATGTTCCTATCAGCATGGAATCTCTGAACAGATCTTCTGCTAAATCAGTGCAGAACGGAAAGGATGTAACTTTTGTGACATTGTCCCTGATTTACTATTGTGCCTGGGCGCATTTCCGTGGGCGAACGTCTAATTTTTACGAGCGACCGTCTAGTTTTACCCCGCAACGAGATTTACTATTGAGCAGCGTCCATAAGTAGACGCCCAATCGAATTTACTAACGAGACACACATCCGGAATCAGACTCACAAAGCAGACTTGCTAAGAGGCATGAAAAATCACTGCAGAGACATGTTCACTTTGAAATTTTGCTTTGCCAAATATCAGGACTTCACTTTAAACAATATCTGCCATTTCAAAAAAAATTAAGAATGTGTTAAAAATATTTTTTTTAAAGCAAATCAACACAGTAAAAAAACTAGACGCTCGTGCAGTGTCTTTGGTCGATATAAATGCGCATGTGCAGAACACATTTTAGACGCCCTCTGTTGGCGCTGCTTTTTAGCCACTGCTCAATAGTAAATCTCAGTGTGGATTCCTCTCTCAGCCGACACTCGGTCGCGTCTACTGTGTTTAACAAACAGCACTAAGCAAATCTTTATGTATTCTAATTTAATTTCCTTAGTTCTAGTGATTCTATTTTTGTTTCTTATCCTTTATAATTATTTCTGTAATGATTTTACTGATTTCAAAGGTCTAGATAATATTTATTTTGACAGCTTGGGGTTGTGGGGGTCTGCGGGCGGGGGGGCTTATCAGAATTTGATAACAGGGGGCCCCCAGATCCTGCCCCCCCCCCCCCCCCCCACGTGAATGAGTCTGCGGTACATGGTCCCGCGACTCATTCACAAAAAAAAAAGTGTGGTGTAATAAAATCACAGTACAGGGTCTTTGACAAGTCTTTTAATAAAACAATGTCCCCCGAAGTAGACCCAACGTCAATCACGGCGGTGGCGGCGACCCGAAAAAAGAAAAAAAAGGTTCCGGTCCCGTCGGAGGCTTCCAGCTTGTGAAAAAAAGGCTAGCTGACAGTTCTTAAATAGGTTAGGGGCGGGGCCAGCCGGGGACATCATCCCCGCCCCTTACCTATTTAAGAACTGTCACCCTGTCTCTCCACTGAGGCTAACTAGCTGAATGCAGGAGAGAGTCTGACAGTTCTTATATAGGTAAGGGGCTGGGCCAGCCGGGTACATCATCCGAGTGACCCCGCCCCATGTCACATGCTTGCTGTCCCTGGCTGGCCCCGCCCCTTACCTATATAAGAACTGTCAGACTGTCTCCTGCATTCAGCTAGTTAGCCTCAGTGGAGAGACAGGGTGACAGTTCTTAAATAGGTAAGGGGCGGGTCCAGCTGGGGACATCATCTGAGAAACCACGCCCCTTTTTTTCACAAGGCTGGAAGCCTCCGACAGGACCGGAACTTTTTTTTTCTTTTTTCGGGTCGCCGCCGTGATTGACGTTGGATCTACTTCGGGGGACATTGTTTTAATAAAGGACTTGTCAAAGACCCTGTACTGTTTTTTTTACACCACACTTTGTTTTTTTGTGAATGAGTCGCGGGATCATGTACCGCAGACTCATTCACGTAGGGGAGGGAGCCGGGATCTGGGGGCCCCCTTGTTAAACATTTGAAAATAGAATGTATGACATTCATTAGTAAATGCATTAGTTTCCTGATCATTTTGGAGAAACAGCAAAAAAAAAAAAAAATAACAATTCTAATATAGGTGTACTATTTGTTACATTCTAAATATTCTCTTTTGCTAACACAAAAACACCAATGCTATAAAGCCCGCGCTTGTGCACCATCTAGCGAACATATCCGGTATTGCACCTAAAAATGTGCCAGACGCGATTCCACATTTACTAATAGCAAAGTAGACGTTCGTCAATGAGATTGCAAGACGCCGCTCAGAAGACTGACAGGTCTTGATTGATTTAATTGAGTCTGCTTGAATGGTCAGAGTCTGCTAGTAGACTCACGTCTTAGTAAATCAGGGCCACAGTGTGTCAGAAAAGGCTTGGTCTTCAGGTGGTTAGAAGAGTGAGTGATGTGTGGCATAAACTTCTAATGCTGGACATAAAATGCCCCCACCCCCCAAAACGACCCCTTTTGGGAAAGTAGACACCCCAAACTATTTACTGAGAGGCACATTGAATCAATAGAAAAATGTATTTTTATACCACAAGTTTTTGGAAAACGACAAACAAAAAAATTTTTTTTTTCTTTTACACAAAATTGTTACTTAAATGATTTACTGCTCACACATGCCATGGGTATATGTGGAATTACTCCCCAAAATACATTCTGCTACTTCTCCCCAGTACGGGGGTTCCACATGTGAGAGACATTTTGGCAGTCTAGCCAGGTACAGGACCCCAAAATCCAATATTCACCTTCAGGCTTTTAAAGTTCTTTATTTCCTCATTACACTTCCTGACTACCTATCACAGTTTTGGAGGCCCTGAAATGCCAGGATAGCACCAAACTCCCCCAAATGACCCCTTTTTGGAAAGTAGACACTCCAAGGAATTTGATAAGAAGCATGGTGAGTATTTTTCAGATCTCGTTCGGAAAATGAACGTTTTTGGAAAATGAAGAAAAAAAGCAAAAAACATATATATTTTTTTATTTTCTTGGATTTCAGGCTCCTGTATGTGGCTAGGCTCCCAAAATAGTCTCACACATGTGGTATCCCCATACTCGGTAGAAGTAGCAGAATGTATTTTGGGGTGTAATTCCGGCCAATCACCTGCGAGGAGGCAGAGCCGAGCGGCCCCGCAAACATCCAGTGAGGGAGAAGCCGGAGTGAAGAAGGACAGCTGACAGGTAAGTGTGCCGTGCAGATGGTGCTGCTGCAACCAGGTATGCTGTCTTCAGCAGCACCATGCTGGAACAGGGGTCAGCAAGTTAAGTGTCATTGGGAGGAATAGTGCCCCATCATTGGTGTCACTGATACTAATGATGGGGCATTATTCCTCCAACTAACACCAACGATGGGGCACTATTCCCCCCTCCCCCACTGACACCAACGATGGGGCACTATTCCTCCCACTGACACCAATTATGGGGCACTATTCCTCCCACTGATAGCAACGATGGGGCACTATTCCTCCCACTGACACCAACGATGGGGCACTATTCCTCCCCCCCACTTACACCAACGATGGGGCACTATTCCTTCCACTGACACCAACGATGGGGCACTATTCCTCCCCCCCACTGACACCAACGATGGGGCACTATTCCTCCCACTGACACCAACGATGGGGCACTTTCCTCCCACTGACATCAACGATGGGGCAATATTCCTCCCACTGACACCAATGATGGGGCACTATTTCTCCCACTGACACCCAACGATGGGGCACTATTCCTCCCACTGACACCAACGATGGGGCACGTTTTTTCCCACTGACACCAATGATGGGGCACGATTCTTCCCATTGACACCAACGATGGGGCCCTATTCCTCCCACTGACACCAACGATGGGGCACTATTTCGTCCCACTGATACCAACGATGGGGCACTATTCCTCCCACTGACACCAACGATGGGGCACGTTTCTTCCCACTGACACCAACGATGGGGCACGATTCTTCCCACTGACACCAATGATGGGGCACTATTCCTCCCACTGACATCAATGATGGGGCACTATTCCTCCACTGACACCAATGATGGGACACTATTCCTCCCACTGACACCAATGATGGGGCACTATTCCTCCCACTGACACCAATGATGGGGCACTATTCCTACCACTGACACCAACGATGGGGCACTATTCCTCACACTGACACCAATGATGGGGCACTATTCCTCTCACTGACACCAATGATGGGGCACGTTTCTTCCCACTGACACCAATGAAGGGGCACTATTCTTCCCACTGACACCAATGATGGAGTACTATTCCTCCCACTGACACCAATGATGGGGCACGTTTCTTCCCACTGACACCCAATGATGGGGCACGATTCTTCCCACTGACACCAATGATGGGGCACTATTCCTCCCACTGACACCAATGATGGGGCACTATTCCTCCAACTGACACCAGTGATGGGACACTATTCCTCCCACTGACACCAATGACGGGGCACTATTCCTCCCACTGACACCAATGATGGGGCACTATTCCTCCGACTGACACCAGTGATGGGACACTATTCCTCCCACTGACACCAATGAGGGGGCACTATTCCTCCGACTGACACCAGTGATGGGGTACTATACCTCCCACTGACACCAATGACGGGGCACTATTCCTCCCACTGACACCAGTGACGGGGCACTATTCCTCCCACTGACACCAATGATGGGGCACTATTCCTCCGACTGACACCAGTGATGGGACACTATTCCTCCA